TATATATTTTACATAAATTAATTATAAAAAAATTCAATAAATATATTTTTAATACATGCCTTAAGGTATGAGATAAAAAATTATTTTAAAATAAAAAATATAACTATTAAAATTTAAGAGTTAAAATAGCAATTTAATCTCTTAATATTTACATTTGTATTGAAATTGTTTTTGAACTTAAAAAAATATCAAAATTATTCATAGACTTTAACTTTTAGTACTAAAATAGTTTTGAACTGTTAATTTTCAATACCAACTTAATTCTTAAACTTTAGAAATAAGTATTAAATTAGTTCTTAAACTTTTATTACAAATATTAATTTAGTTTTTCAATTTTAATTATATATCAATTTAATATATAAATAAAAATATATCACGGTGATAAAATGTAACTACTTAATTTTAAATTTCATTACTAATTTTGAAAAGGAATTAATTTTGTAATAAAATAATGAGTCACATAATACTTTTATTCATAAAAAAATTATTTTAATACTAAAAATTAAATTTCTAAAACAATTTTAATAATTTTTAAAATTTAAAAATAATTTTAATATTTATATTAAAATTAAGAGAATAAATTAATATTTTAATCAAATTTAATGGATGAATGACAGACTGCGATTGCCCTCGAGTGAACGGTGGAGTAAGTCCACTTTGCCGATAAATATAAAGGGTAAAAACCCTTTCCTCAAAAAAAAAGGGTAAAAACCCTTTTGAAGCCACAAAACTTATTCAAAATAGCATTTAAGTTCTTAAATTAAAAACAAAACAAATAAACTCTTTAATTTCATTAATAATGTAAATAAATCATTCTCAAAAAAGGACAAAACAGTATGTCATGTTCATTATTACTTTCAAAGTTTGAATACCCATATATGAGAAACATTTATTTATTTCATTTTTAGTTTGAAAACTTAAATACTATCTTTTTAATGTTTGACAGTTTAAAAAGAATTTTTTCTAAATAAATTCTCTTATCTTTTAAAAGATTTAATTGATTTTGAGAGCACATTTAACGAGGAAAATGTTATGTAGTCTCAATTTCTATGTTATACATAGATACTTATTGATAAAATAAATTAATTTTAATTTTTTTATTTAAAATTTT